GTTATTAAATTTTCCAAAACAAAGAATTTTAGAACACCCTTACCTATAAAAGCGTAACGTAAAGTTCATTTGTAAAGGTCACAAAGCATATGAATGGGTTGAATGAATTTAAAAGAGACAAAACATACTGTTAGAAGGAGAGGCTTGTAATGCGACACTATGGCGCGAGTTGTATAGGTTGTTACAAATTTTGTTTCTTTTTTACTTAATTAGTTTGTTTGAAAAATATTTTTTTATAATTATGGATTTTGTTTAACGTTAATATTTTTTTATGATTATTGGCAAGTAGCGTTAGACGTGTGTTCATTTATTGTCGCGATGGTAACGACACGCTGTATATGGTCATGAATGCGAAATCAGTCTGATTATAAACGCATAATTGTCTATCATCATCTTGTTTATCTTAGTTATTTGACGTTTTGCATTTTATGGATCATAAGAAATAATTTAATCTTTATAAATGTACTATACATTATGTTATATTTACAAGATCTAATTAGTAAAATAATATCTGTACATACTCTTATTGAAGTTGAGAAAACAATCCCGATAAAAAGTAAAATAGACCAACGAGAATTATTTCTAGTACAAAAGTTAGTGTATAATACGTATGTATAATAGTTAGTATATAATAGTATATATAATATATAGAGTCAATAGTATATCGCCTATACTTCGAGTCACTGATGCGTACTAAATGGTCGTAAAAGTAGTCTTAAATAACGTTCAAAAGTAAGCAGTTACGTGTGTGTTGGATCTAAAATAGGTGTTTAAAGAGTGACGAAAGGTTCCAGTACCTAATAATACATCATTTGAATAGAAGTTTGGTATTAATTAACTATAATACTTTATATAATTAATCAATCCTTTCTATTCCGTGAACGCTTTCAACTCGTATGAATTCGATTACATTTAATCGCGTTTTATAGTGTTTGAAATGATATTAATTATTAATGATGATGTTGTACGCTGTTACTTTTACATAGGTACCACCTACCGTCCACCGCGTGTTTATCGTCCGCCCCATCTCGGTTATTATATTCCAACTGGTCGCGTGGAAGGTGTCCGACGATATATTATGTCGCGTGTCGAACTAAATTGCCCATTGTCACTTGACCGCTCAATCGATGCCTCTTGCCCGAGTTCTTGACGGACGTCCCGTGAAAACTATTCAATGTATTGTGTACGCATCGAACTCTTCGCCACCTTGAGATCTATTAATAATGATTATAGTATTAGGCAAAGAGTTTTATTTTAACTAGCTGTGGCCGCGACTTCGTCGAGATATGAAATCCACATACTATCGTACGCACTGATATCTTTCGTCCAGTACATTAAAAATTTAAAAAACTTGGCCATTTTTAAAAACTGTCGCTGTATTTATATTGTTTCTCATAACATCTGATAGTGCATCAAGTAGAGGGGAAAAACCGTTCGATTTGTAAAAGTAACGGAAAATGAAGCTGGCCACACAGTTTTTTTTCTTTGTAACATAGATGAAGAAAATTCATTGTTTCTATTCATTTTGAAACCTAAAACAACTTAGATGTAATGGTAAAGGTTGTTACCATCGGAAACATGACAATACCGTGATCAGCATTTATATATACATATATATTTTTATAGCTTCATAGCTTTTTTGAGAGAAATTGAATCGAAATATGAAAAAATTGCAGTTAATTCTGAAATACGATGGCTAAGTGGAAAAGTTCGTTCAAAAGCTTTGTAGAAAGTTTTGATGGTATACAAATATTTCATAACGAAATTGGTTATTTCGTTATGATATACAAATAATTCATAACGAAATTGGTGATTTCGTTATGATATACAAATATTTCATAACAAAATTGGTGATTTCTTTAAGAAATATTTGTATATCATCAAGAAGTATCTCGAAGTCAATGTTAAACAATAGCTTGAAGACAAGACTTGTTCCTAACACACATACTGAACCATTATAATGGTTTTAAATTTTATTTTAAGTTTTTATAATCCAATCCCTGTTACGATTAAACATTAAAATTTGTATAAAAATAGGGGTTTTTTTTTAATTGAATATTTGGATGATTTAATTTATGAAGTTGCGAAAATATTTAAAAGACAACAAGGTAATCCTCAGAAGATTCTCATGATACCAACATGTTGGTTTTGTCATTTTGTTCTCATTCGGTTCAAATTATATATGTGAGCACATAAGCATTTACACTAATTAAATTAAATTAAGTAGCAACAGGGACAGATTAACTGCCAAAAATTCAGATGCTTGGATTCATCTCAAAATGACTAACTATAACCCAGACTTGACGAAATTGATATCGAAGGGAACTTTTATAAATAAAGAACTGACAACTATGAGAGTAATCATTCTTCATATTACTAAAATAATCTTTTAATACGAAAATATCTCTAACCCAAAGGTCCCTTTCATACCCACATGCTAGTTGATTTTGATCCGCAGCCAAAAAAGGTTGTCGACCCTTGATCTGGAATAAAGTATGCGAGCATTGGCTATATTTGATTTTATTATTTGAGATGGTGGCAAGGAAGTAAGGGAGCAGTTGACATTATGTAATTTCGGCCGCCAATGAACAGTATACGCAATGGATGCAATTCTTTATCATCGTCACACGTGAATGTGGGGTTGGCACAACATATGAATCATGTTGTAAGCTTTTGGACCTTAGGAAACAACATCTGGGATCTGGGTTCTGGAACAATTATTTGTGGGTCACACAAACACTTGTCCCGTGTGGGAATCGAACTCACGACCCCTGATACCGAAGCCAATAACTTAGCAACGGCGCCATCGATCGGCGATTTATAATCTTTTCACTTTTCTTTTGTTGACAGTAACCCATAAAAAATATCAACGAATAATTATCTAACCACCGAGTGAAATATACCTTAAAATAGGGGTATTAATCATAACGACACTGACCATTAATTCCCAGGTGAACTAGTTTATGTATATATAATATTTACGATTGCCACACAATTTAATTATTATAATGATAACGTAGTGGCTAATGTATAATAATATTAATCGGTACGATATGAAGTATAATAATATTAAATAATCATAGACGGTAAATTTTAAAAAATATAAAAGTTATATGGAATGAGGTTTGAATAGCCCATTTTGTCTTGTTGTTGTTGTTATTGATGTCCCTGACAGCAGTGTCGGGGCGTTCACTTTTAATTCAGTTACTCGAACAATCCGAGTTCAAATCTCGGTGCCGGCACTAATGAAATTGTTAGCTACAATATTGAGTGCAATTGTGAAGTCTGTTAATGTGTGAGGTACCACTTGATGGACTAAAGAGGCAGGTCCCTTTGGCCTCCATTGGGAAAAATATAGGCTGTTACTTTCATCATCATCATCATTTCAGCCTGTTTGAGTCCACTGCTGAACATAGGCCTCCCCCATAGACTGCCACGAAGTACGATCCTGAGCCACCTGCATCCATCGACTTCCCGCACATTTGCACAGGTGGTCACTCCATCTAGGGGGTCGTTACTTTACTTATATGTTATATTTGAACGTTCGCATGTTTTGTAGCATTAACGTTCAAGGGCTTAGTGACAGTCTTAAGTATGGCGTTAATGTATGTGCAGCATTAGATAAAGCAAAACGTTTGGTAAATAAGACAAGCGGTAATAGGGAACTTTTTTTTCTATTATTTATGTGAAAAATTGCCAAGCGAGCAGACGGTTCACCCAATGCCAAGTGAATACCGCCGCTCATGGACATCTGCTACACCCGAGGGTGCGGAGATGGCGGAGGTGCGGGATGGATGTGGAGGGTCCAGATGCGATGATAACCTTTTGAAAATTGGGCTTCGGCATCCTCACTCACCAGACGAAACGCGAAAGAATTATACTTCCACTTTACGCCGGTCTCCTGTGAGGTCGTGGTACTTACCCGGACGAGCATGCCCATTCGTGCAACAGTGGTGCAACTGCGTGGCCCCTATGTTGATACTGTGCAATATGTACATATACTAAAAGCTCTTAATACATTGCTGTTAGCGCTAGTGACTAGAATGTCAATTAGCGATTGAATTTAAATTTATACTAAGGTCATACAAGTTTTTCTATTCAAATTGGGTTGATCTCAAGCTCTTATAAACTTATATTGATTCATATATGCAGAATCGTGAACGTAAAAACGAATATTGTTTCACATACTTAGACATAGGAACGTAAAAATCTACTACTAATTTATATATGTAGATATAAAATATGTTTCCCAATTATATCGATGCATGTTTAACGAGTTTCTAATTATTATTTATTTTCGCGTATAAGTCACGCACTCCCCTCGCCATGTAATAATCGATAGTCGGTAGTATATAAGTACGTGATAAATTTCTCACAATTGTTAAACACCTCTTTCTATGATCTATAGCCATATGAACGAAGTAGTAATATTTGATATCTGAAGTTTATTATAGAGAGTAACTAGCTGATGTCCGCAGCTTCGCCCGCGTGAATGTCGGTTATCACGACCAAAGGTAATCATGAAATTTTGATCCCGTTCCCGCAAGTCGTATTGATGTAGATAGCTTTCAAATTATCGCTTTTTAATTGAGAATTTAAATGATATAGTATATATATATCCTTTATTATATATATATCCTTAAGAGATAGACATAGTATGCCATCACGCACTTGATGCATTCTGTAGACATATATAAGATACTCAACTCCACCATACATATTTTTGTTATATCTTAAAGGGTTTAGACATCGTTTTCGTTGAAAGCTCCAAGCGGTTTATTTTTATCCGACACTTCCAACAAATATAACTTACACTCGACAAATTATACACTAAAACCTTTGTTGACAACCACTCTATCTATTGGAGGAAACAGCATGGAAATAAGTGCAGTAGTTTTTGAGTTTATCGCGAACATACAGACAGACGCGGCGGAGGGCTTTGTTTTATAATATGTAGTGATGTAGTAATAATGATAGTGATGTGAAAATTCTTTTTACAGAGTTCTCCACCACCATTTAGTCCGGCTGGAAGGACTAACGACGACGAGGCCATAGTGTCGATAATTGAGTCCGCCGAGGAGTTTATCTACATCTCCGTCATGGACTACATCCCAGCAATTATCTACACCCATAAATTGAAGTAAGATTATTACACTTTATTATTATTTAAACTATTTTGTTTACTAAAATTTGCACTTAATACCTTTTTGACAAAGATTTTAACTAAGAAATATATTTTTATTTCAAAAATATCCAGGTTTCCTAACGATGTTTTCCTTCACCTCTGAACACATGATAAGTCAGCACCTAAAATTAACAATTCCATTGGCCCCGGCACCGGGGATCGAACTCAGGTTGCTCGAGTATATTGAATTAAAGGCGAGGTGTGTCCGGGCGCATTTGTCACACATGCATCATCTATATTATTAAACATCACTGTACTAACATACAATTCTTTAGCATTTGCAGCCGAACTTTCGCTTATATATCATTGAAATTACGAACATTAATGTTAGCTGCGATTATATACGCTGGAGTATCATCCGAGACGTCACGTTTTATGTCGCGCCGCGGTCATCGATTGGACGTTAGGCAGTGAGCTCGACGAACGATTTTACGATTGGCGCACACTGTAAAACTTTAACGGGGAACGGGGCTCGTAAATTTTCACAGTGCTGCCGCGGCACCGCGCGGCGGATTCCGTCCCATTTAGCGGAGTAACGCGATGCAGCCAATGACCCGGCAAAATTGACCCGCTGACATCTCTGCCACGGCTGTTTTACGAACGTTTGTCCATTGTCTGTAGGACGGATTCTTCCAAGTCACGGGTCGGAGCTTTTACCTCAATGGTCGCGATGTGCATGTTTGTCTCTCAATATTTTCACATAACGGTATTCATGGATAATGTAGCCTGTGAATGAAAGAAATTCATGAGTTACGCATATTACCTACGTCTATTTATTTAAAGTTAAAAAGTAAACTATCATCATATGTTTGTCCCAGTGCTAGGCAAAGGCTTTTTCTATACACAGGGTTATGCCATAGTCCCCCACGCGACTCCACGGGGGGTTGCCGAACATCACTTATGTTCAAAATAGTTTTTTTTATTGTTGGTATTTCGACAATTATGCAGTTTATTTTAAACTAAAAGTGAGCGTCCATACACGGAGCTCTCACGGCTCATTTATTTATTTATTCTTTATTACAAGTACCTTAAACAAGGATTACAAAGGAGAACTCAACTCTTTCGGCATACTCTCTCATTTACACCGGGGTTTGGAGATAAATAACTTTCGTTATTCTCTCCCATTTTACCCGAAGTGTGAAGATAAATTGTGGTAGGTCCAATAATTACTTGAAATTATTTATATACACACGTTGAAAATATATACACACATATGAACTAATAATAAATATATAAAATATGATAAATATATATTATAATGTATAAACATAAAAATAGTAGTGGCACAACGATCACATCTAACATTCTACCTTGGATCCTTCAAGTACAAGTCACGGACCAAGAGGTACCAGTATGAGGGATAGAGGGGGGGGGGGGGGGGGGTGTCATCAGGCAAGGAATTCCAAAGCAGTGCATCCTGAACAGTAAAAGACTTAGGAGGGAAAGAGGAAGGGAACTTAAGATGTTTAATATATATCGTTTAAAATAGAGAAAAGCAAAAGCAGAATTCTACAGTCACGCCTTTGTTCTGTACTGTAAGCCATTTAATACTGGAGTAACATGATAATATTATTGAAAGCCACAATAAACATAATGCTTTGTTAAATAGGCACTCTAGCTTGTTAAGAACGTATTTGTTCGAGTTTGTGTAACAAACATCCGTCTAATCAATTCTTGGAATAGTAAGCGTCTACACGAGTAATAGTATTAGGTTGAAAGGGAGAAAATTCCTCAGAAGATAAGGATTTCGCAAGGTCACAAAGATATTGTGTTGGTTCGTCGTATTGTCCGCAAAGAAGCCAAGTTTTTTTTAGATTTATTATTTATAATAGACAAAAGTTCATACAATCATCCCATTACATACAATGAAGCAATAATACTAACTTCTTTATTATGTTATAGTATAAACAAGTTATGTAATGAAAGATTGACTTATATCTCTTCATTGATCATAATCCTTTATTTCTAACAAATAAAACCATTACCAACCGTAGCGTACACTCATATTGAAGATCAAATTGCTGATAAAAATTTGCCTGTCTAAAAACCCCTACTCCTAATTAATAGTCCATTACTTTGAGGGTTCCATACCTTAAAGGGTAAAAAAAGGAACCCTTATAAAATCACTCCCTTGTCCGTCTTCCTGTCCGTCTGTGTGTCACCTGTTTTCAGGAACGGGTGGACCTAGCGAGTTGAAATTTATACCAGGCGCTGAGGTCTATAATCCCCCGTTAGGTGTATAAAAATCAAGGTCCTGAGTCAACATGAAAAAAAGATATGGGCAGATTTAGATTTTCGCGAAAACTTATCAAGCACCAAAATTCACCATCATTTTCAACTTTTTTTATTTTTCTGAATATACCCTTGTGCTGTAAGGCCTTGCTTTTAACCAAATGACAATTCTAGGTCAACCAGAGGTACCCTATAGGTAGTATTCTACCCTATAGGTCGAAAGTATTGACTTCGGCGTCGGGGATCGTGGATTCGATTCCCAGGCGGGACGACTGTTTGTGTCACCCACAGATAGTTGTTTCGCATCTGGGTGTTTGTCCGCATGAAACTTATGTTTGTAAAACGTCCTTACAACACAGGTTAAAGTTATCAGGATAAAATAAGGGCAATGTTTTAAAAAATATATATATATTTATATTAATATTAAACTAAGTTTCGGTAAGAATCAATTGATGCTTTCCACGTATTCACGATATCTTTACTATGGATTTCTCAGAATGCCATGCATTGTGTATCCGCGTAAGGCTTATTGGAATTCCTTTCGTTATTGCGGTCCCGTGAATGCACAAGATAATTTACGAAACGTTTATGACGCTGCACAGAATGAGGACACCTGTCCGTATTTATTGTGAGCCTTCGAGAATGATATAACCTTAAGCAGTAGCTAAAAGTTTTTCGCAATTCTACTCACCGCTATAACTATGTTAACATAGTAGTTATGTAATATATTATGTATATAACTGTTAATCTATATAGAATAACTACGTTTACATAAACATAAAACATAGTTATTCCTCTCGTTGTATAAACGTCCAAAAAAATGTATTTTATGCGAAAAGTTGTCTAACGAGCAGACGGTTCACCTGATGTTAAGTCAATACCGCCGCCCATGGACATCTGCCACACCCGAGGGTTACAGATGCGGTGACCACCTTTTGAAAATTGGGCTCCGGCCACCTCACTCACCAGACGAAACGCGAAAGTATTTGTCATACTTCCACTTTACGCTGCTCTTCTGTGAGGTCGTGGTACTTACCCGGACGGGCCTGCCCATTCGTGCAACAGCCGAGGCTGCTGCACGAATGGGCAGGCACCACCACAACAAGGCACAAATACCACCGTAAAAATTGTTGTTACTTTTTAAATGGCTAAATATTTTTGTGAATTATATTTTGTAATGTGATTATTAATGATAATGAAATGTGATTATAAAAAATAAGTGAATAAAACAAAATAAAATAAAAATATTTTTCTTTTATAACATCATACACATTCCGAGTCCGTCCCAGTGGATCTCGTAACGGAATAACTATAAAAACTTTACCTTCACTATGCGGAGTTTTCAAACACATAAGTGACTCGTAAATTATTACGCACAATAAATAATTGTAATATTTTTTCTTATAATAACGTAAAAAACTGAAGTAAATGACAATTCTATCCAAAATTTAGTATTTTATTATTTCAGTTAAAAAAAAAATTTTGAATTCGGTTATTGCCCATTGAATATAAATAAGCAGTTATACAATTTATATTTTATTTTATATAAAATAAGTTTATACAATTATTGTCTGATTGCTTTTTCCTTCAATTTCCACTACGAAAACTTACATTTCAGAGTGGAATTATCTATCCCCTAACTATAGCAAAAAAACAATAGATAACATTTTTTTTAATTCTTACTTTCCTAGCAAACTGTTAAATTAATTTTATTCAATTAGTGTCGTGAAAAAAACATTTTTTACTGAACAAAGTGGTGAAAACAGTATCACCACTTTATTAGTTTAAGCTAAAGCTCTACATTGGTAGCAAAAAATAGGCTAACTATGTTTAATTAGACTGTGAAAAAGACTGAAGAAAAAGCAAGCTTACGTTAAAATTAAAATGTTTGTTATACAAAATGGGAGAGTAGATATTACGTTGTAAATTTTACGTGTCTTTAAATAAAGAAACGTATAATAAATATTACGATCACGGAAGCAAAGTAAAGCAAACTGTCTTAAATTTCTGAAATATATAGATAGATAAAAATAGGCGATAGATAAAGTTGAACATTCTACATCTACCCCTTTATGTAGACACAGAGTATTTCTACCGACTATATTATAGTATTTCTACCGACACAGAGTATTTCTACCGACACAGAGTATTTCTACCGCAGGTTTGCAATCTTAATTTTTTTGAACGTTGTAGGAACACGCAAACGGGTTCCGTTGATGTGTTATCCATTGTTCGATAGCGAAGTGTCACGGCCTTAGTAGTCTAGTACTATAGAAGAACGGTGTCTTCATTGGCGACCCTAATCATGTGGATGTCCAGGGATGGCCGGGCATGAAGCATTAGCTAGTATACCGCGTTCTATGTGAAAATATCACCGAATTGCAGGTTCTGGCCGAAAATCGACGACGCACTGCGTGCCGCCGCCATAGAGCACCGCGTTAAGATCAAACTGCTGATTAGCTGGTGGAAGTACTCGCCCACCGAAGAGGACTACTTCCTTCGCTCGCTCGCAGCGCTCTCGCAGTCTTACCCCGGCGTGGACATACAAGTTGTGAGTGTCCTAACATCGTTTATATCGTACACATCGTCTAGTAACACCTTCGGTAGCCAAATTTTAGCATGATACTTCTAATACTCGTAACACTACTTGGGTGTAAGTAGTGTTACGAGTACACTTATAGAGTAAACTTATAGAACTAGACCTAAGGTATATAAGTAAGATACCCTGTCGTAAATGGCGAATAAAAGTGTATAATTTATTAAAGTATTGTCGCTAAGGACATAGGGCAAAATAGGGAAGATCATTTTCCAAAGTGTTCGTTATGCAGAGAGGCGGGCACCAGTACGCGCCCTACGATCGCGAAGTCCTATTTATCCCCCCCCCCCCTATACTAAAGAAAATGTGCTGAAAACGTTAATACGTGGTAACTTAACCTTACTTAACTTAAACTTAACAGTCTTGGGTCGTTGCACGAATAGGCAGGTCCGTCCGGGTAAACACCACGAATGGCATCTACAAATCACAAAAGAGAAATCTCCGATCAAATATCGATCGCCCGCCCCCCAGAGGCGCTTCGTGGTGCCGTCGACGCCGGAGCAGGAGAGGATCCCGCACGCGCGCGTCAACCACAACAAGTACATGGTGACCGAGCGGTGCGCGCTCGTCGGCACGTCCAACTGGTCGGGCGACTACTTCACGGACACGGCGGGCGCGGCGCTGGTCGCTGCAGCGGCCCGAGGCGGCGAGTGCGGCCAACGCGAGCCGCGACCTCCGCTCCGACCTGCAGCGGCTCTTCGAGAGGGACTGGAGCTCGCCGTACGCGGTGCCGCTGCGCCGCTTATAGCGCGGCGACGGCTCTGTCGCTGTCCGCTTTATCGGCGGCGGCTTTGTTGCGACGGGGTCGTCGCTGTTCACTTTGTCGGCGTCGACTTTGCTGCTATGCGGTGGTCGCTATACACTTTCCCGGCAATGACTTTGTTGCGAAAGGGTTGTCGATCTCCACTTTATTGACGACTATTTTGTCGCGACAGCTTCGTCGGTCTGCACTTTATTGACGACGACCTTGCCCTGCGCGACCGCTCCGTTGCGTCGCTTCTCGATACTTTTATCGCTGCCTTAACTTTTGTGTTCCGTTATATCGGTTTCTAACTATTTTAATATTTGATTACTTTGTTGGGAAAACTTATGTCCTACCTTTTTGTTGTTATCGAGCTCAATTGCGTGAGACGTTTCAGTTGGTTGGCAGTTTTTTTTTACATTAGCGTTGAGGTTTGAATGTTCGTCTTGATAACGTAAATAGTAAGGTGAAACTTAATAATGGATCGCGTATAATAATGTTTTCGGCAGACACTTAAAATTTAAACAGCATTATATTTCTGTTACATAAATTATATTAGAAGTTAAGAAAAATTAACACTAACTTTGAATTCGTTCTAAAGTTACTATGTAAGCAGAGCTAAAAAGGAAAATTAATTGAAGTCATCGGCTTAATAAAACATTTAAGCGGACTATGTACTTCATATTAACAGGGCAAGAATTGTATAAAAACACGTAATTAGTACTTACTTGTGCGTATCTCTGAGCTCAAGACAACGTACTCGGGTATAAATATTGCACGTCGACCTTAGGAAAGAGGCATCGACTACTTTCGGTTTCGTAATGCGTTATCTCTGTTACACACTGTCTGTCTCTCTGTTGATGCTTCTTGCGACAGAGATAACGACGTTGTATCAAGCCGAAATAAGCAAAATGTCACTTTCCAAAGGTCGACATGCAATATGGTCGAGTACTATGTCATTTACATAGTACTGTACTTAGGTTTTATGCGTTAGAGGACATGTGCAATGTTCCCATTTCCCTAAAGTCCATAACTTACTTTTTTCTCATTTGATTTTATTTTGTAATATTAATATTAAACGAAATGTCACCTTATTCTAGTTTACCGTCAAATTAAAAATTTTATTACTTGTGACTAATTTCATATTTTTGAATTTTAATGATATGCATTTCCCTTCGGGAGACTATTAGAGATGCCTTAAGCGTATTTGCTAATTTAAATACATAGTTATTCTTTCTTTTATGTCGTTGTGACAAATTTTTCATGTGTGGGTGGGTGTGTTCCTATTCGCTAATGAAATTCTTGAAGAAATAATATTCTAATTATATTCCAATACTTTTGTATGATTAATAAGGATGAACTTCCTACACTATTAGATTTCATTAGGTGATTCGAGTTTACACAAGATAAGTTCTAAAAAAGTTTTCCTATAAATGATTAAGAAAAAAAACTTTACTTATTAGGTCTATTATAATTAAATTAAAACAAAACGTATTAAGCAAATGCACGGTAAATTTTTCCACAAGGTAACATTTCTGTTTTTTTATTCGAGGGCTTTAAATTCCCTTTTACTCAGAGCCAGCTGAAAGCGAACTCTTGTATATAAGTTTTAACTTCAACATTTCTGCGTGTGTGAGGCGTGCCTTCTAATATTGTGTCGTTCTGTGTTGTATCGTAGATTTTTATATCTTGTTAGTGGTTATTGTACTGTTTAATGTAGTTTATAATATGGTATACTTTCAAGTTAATAATGAGGATCTTGAAAAGAGAGTCATGTTGGATGTATGTTCGGAGCATTGGTGCTAAAAGCGCAGTTAACTCTTCTCATACATATCAGTGGTTTGTACGCCTTTTTACTTGTGCTGCACTCAGCACGTTTTTTATTATTTTTTATATTTTTATTTAACGTTTGTTTAATTTACCGCATTTTATTCTCGCAAGTTACAAGAAATGAAATGTTATTTTTCGAAATATCTGAACAGAAAATGCTATCAATTTATATTTTTATGACAATAATCATATTTAAAACGAGCAGATCGAAGACATAAAGGACCAATGAATGTGTTTTTGAATTGGTGTTCAAAGCCGAATAATGTTCTCCTATTCTCATTCAAGTGAATATGTTCAATTTCTTAAAAACTGACGTAACAGATTAATCCTTTAATAAGCAATAAGTATTATACTTTTAAAAGTCCATTTTATTGTTCCTAAATCTTATTTTAAAACTTTTATGAGACATGTAAACAAGTGAACTGTGGTTGTCAAGATTCATATTGTTGTAACCTAAAGCAATCTACTATCATCGAAGACAATATGAGTGATGTTCGTAATGTATTGGTGTTGAGTGTAAATAAAATTTATCCCTATTCAAACTTTTATTTCCATGCCCACAACAACGCTAACTGCAAAACCGTAAAGTTAAATTTAAGTAAATTGAATTGCGCATTTATACATTGTCGTGTCCGAAATGTAAAAAGAAATATCCTTAAGACTACTGTCTGTCTGTAGGTTCAAATAAGATTTTATTAAACTGTTGTATATACAACAATCCATCAAATCTAAGGCTATTAAATTATATTAAAAATAATCAATCATATGAAACACTGGCAGCTCTTCGTTAAACTTATCTTTGTTATTGTTACACTTATATAGTGTAAACAATCGTTGATAGGCCCTTTTAGAAACAAAAAAAAAACTTACTACTTAAATTTGTATATACTTCGTCACCTTCGGAAATTATATTGCATGCTGTAACCATAGCAACAAATGAAACACTAGCATTCTAGTCACGAGGATTACAAAACCTTTTTCTTATTTTAAGTTATTAACATTATCCATTATGTTTCAAAATAAAATCTTTGTATATCTCTTAATATTGGTCAAAATAAATAAAACATCCCTCCTTTTTTTATAAAATAGAAACTTTAATGAAAATCAAGTAAACAACTAAATATCCATATCAATACAAATCTCCCAACATTGCTCCATTCGTCAAATACAATGTCAATGGATTCATTATTAAATCGTATCGAGTGAAATGTCAGCACAAGTGCAATTGTTCAGGATGATCTCAATCCATTTAACATGTCCCGCATATAAACTTAAAAGTAAATACAAATAGAAAAGAACGTTCGTCATTGTCAAAACATCGAGAATAAACACCGCTCGAGCAATATAACAACATCTATAAAAACCTTTGTAATCTTTACACCTGCCTTAAAAATGTAGATGAAAAACTAATTACACTAAACAGTAGTCGATTTGTCTTAATCTAGTTTGTATCAACTTCTTGCCGTGACAGGATAATTTGATTCACTAGCAGACTGTTATAGCGATTTAAACATTTATTATTACCAGTAATAATAATCTTGTTTTAATTGCTCTTATGTGGTGAACATTAATTATTGCTACAGCTATGTGATAAAATAACGTTAAACAATTAATTTTCCACTTTCTCTTATAAACATTTATAATTTTACACTTTGAATACTTTTGTTGTGTGACAAGGCACTCAGTTTGAATGTATACTTACCGGAAGAGATAAGTAAATTTGGTTCATGTAAACCGGACATAAGTGTAACATAAATTCCCATTTGATGGCTTATAAGCCATATATTTAAATCTCTTCAAGAATTAAATAACGCCGCGTCGACACTATCAACGTTTTAAAGGATAAAATAGTTTTGGTAGCTGGAGTTATTTTGATCGTAACCAAAGTGAATTTGGACGATATTATTACTATCTAAAATTCTCAATTCATGTGATATCTTGACTACTTGAAGAATGAAGAAAATTAAGTGATTTGACGCCAAAAGTGTTTTGTTGTGTATGAACCAAAGCAACTTTGTCAAAATATATTAAAGGGATTTTTTCTGCAGAAATCAGCGTTCGTGGACCCAAATACTTTTGACTACTGACAGTTTTTATTTATCATGCTTCAGGCAAGCGAAGCGCTATTTATTTGTCTGTTGAGAATGTACAATTCGTAAAATGTACAAGATAACCATTAAGGTTCATTTGGGTTTCCTCGTCACTTTCACAAAGTGG